TTTCACAATAGACATTTATATACCGTTCGACAGCCCTTTGAAAGAGCTACATTTTGCCCTATTTCTATCTGAAAAAGGAAAAACTTCGATTTTCTGCCTAATGTCTGGCTGTATGCCCACTGTGCAACTATTATTGTTGATTTTTCAACATTTGAAGAAGAAAGAGTAGAATCGAAAAAGTAGTTTTCTAATTTAAAAGTTATTTATATTGAAGATCCGCAGCGTTGATTTCTTCGTCTTTTATCACTACTGAATATAATGAAAATGTTTAGTGCAATTGTATGGCGATTTGAGAGAATTCTTTTAAACAAAACAATTAAGTCTAGACAGTGAAAGATAAAAAGGTGTGTTTAAATTGAACGAATATAAATACACACTTATTGATATTTTTTTTCCATTTCAGCAGCATCATTTGAACTAAACAAAATCCTATCACCTAAATCGAAAACTATTGCTAAAAAGCACATATTATCTTCAATTTCATTAAATTTATCTCAGCCACCTATTGAATTTGAACGTATAAACGTGAATACAATAAATGAATTGAATATAACAGAAACTACTACTCCTTACTCTACTGAACATGAATTAGAAGATCACAATATGATAACAGGTCAATTAGGTGAAAAATTTGTTTATAAATATTTATTATGGAAATATCGTGAACAGTCATCGATTATCAAAATTGAATGGTTAAATGAAAAACAAGAAACATATTTACCATATGATATTCTGATTAAGAAAGAAAATGAACAAATTGACTATATTGAAGTTAAAACAACTCAATTGAATGATCAGCATACATTTCAGATATCTATCGATGAAATAGAACACATTCTTAAATTACCAACGTATTTCATCTATCGTGTGTACAATATCAATAATCCATCGATATGTGTTGTTAATAATATCAAATATAATCTACAATCTACACGTCAACTTGGCTTACAAATGACAATTAAACCAGTACCGCTTAATCAACTGTCCAGTGAATAAAGAGTCCTTCTGTATAACGACAATCCGGTGATTATAAATAACGACATTTAATTCTCAGTTCTAAATTATTTTTTTTGTTGACTTTTTTTTGTGTTTTCTCTTGATATGTTGTATCTTAGTAAACGTTATATTTTTTTCTATGAGTGTGTGTATTGTACTCTTTCATTATACTTTTGTAAAAGTATTTAAAATAATTCTACTTGAACATGTGATTGTTTTTGCGTGCAATAATGCTTTTTTTGAATTGTTAATATTACGAATGAGTGTTGTAATAAATAAAGCATACTATAATAAATAAATAAGTTGTGCTTCAACACCGTAGTTTCGATTATTGCTGTAAGTGTGACTACCTCATAGTGGAAATATTGAGAAAGCATTTTCAGTGAAAACAAACCACATATTTGGAATCGTCTCATCAAACGGTATTAAATGATGTATAACACAAAATAGTAATAGTAGTAATTAATAGCTCACGACCATGATCAGCTAGGAGTCGGAAATTTACACCACAGTTGAAGATAAATGTTGTCTACTCACTGCGACACTTTTAGGCTTATAAACCAAAGCTTTTGCAAGATATGAATTTTTTATGATTTAGACAGTTTTTA